CAGTTCGTCAAGGAGGTGTCATGCAGCTGGAGATACCATTGCGGATCTTAGTATGCACTGAAGGGCGCCCTCGGAGACCACAACCAGGCCTTTTCTACTGCGTTTGCGTCAAGACAACCCATCCTAGTTCCGAGTTGAAAAGAGGAAGGTAAAGGAATCCAAGCTCGCATTTGGTTGCGAAACTTACCGGGTTGTATGAAGACAAAATGGTCATGGTGCTAAGCTGAGCCAGGCCAAGGAGCTGCGAGAGGGAGGCCGAGACGCATGATGGTGCGGTGGTGGAGGAGGGAGGAGATTCCCGCGGTGTGGGCCAGCATGACACACTCCTCGAGCCAAGATCCGGGTACACCCCCACACCCACACTCACACCGCCACAGCCTTCGCAAACCATATACAATTCACTTGTATACTGTAGTCATTACACAGGTTTCATTTTAAATATGTATAGCAGCGTATGAATATTTCATCGTAGAATTTTCTTTGTTTATTCTATATCTTTTAGACTTATTGAGGTATTAAATTGTCGTGATTGAGCTTTGTTTTCGATTAATTCTCACTTACTCTTTTCGCTTGGCCTTACACATCACAGTAGAAATTTGCTTCTTCTTCCAAAAATATATAAGACAAACAACCTTAAGTGTTCCACGAAGCACTAGCTAAGTCACACAACACTGAAACCTCCACGTTCTACTTCACAACTAACAATTTTCAAACCGTTAAACGCACATTCACTACATTTGTATAAGCAGTTCAACAAAACGGAACTCACACACGCTAACGGTATATTCCAAGCAAAAGATTAGAAGATGGGTGCTGCGTAGTATAAATCCAAAGTCGTCTTCAGATAAAGGAAATGAGAAATATATAGAGAAGAGGCAGCAGCAGCGGACTGGAGAAGAGAGTATTCCCGTTATAGAGAAATGAGCCACAGTTCTCTCTCTCCACCGCCGGCCAGCTCCCGCAGTCGACTGTCACACGAGCGCTCGCTCTCCTCTCATTCCCCCTCTAGCCTGGCCCCGGCCTACTCCCCCTCCCCTCCAACTACGTCACGAGCTCCACGACCACGTCCGGGCTCGCTGTTATACACATGCACAACCACTGCATTATTCTGGTATCACCAACGCGCATGTGCGAATAAACGCCCTTACATCTCAGATTAATATGATTTTCGAAGCAGATCCTTGGGCAATAGTAAATAGATAACGATATGCACAGGTTTGACAAGCAAAGTGGAGTCACAGGGTACGTGCAAATGCTTGCAAACACAAACATAATAACGACTCATGTGCCTAATACCTTTATATGCTAAAGTCAGATATTCGTCTACGAGGACGAAATAAAGAAACATGTCGCCAGGACTTGATGCACTTAAACGATACGACGCCACAGCAACTTATACAACTTTCGTTATAATTTGCAACAATATTATCGAATAATAATGCAACGCAGAGAAAATACCGTACAAGGGTTTTCGTCACCATCCTTTTTAACTTAAACTTCCTTAAGTTTCTAAACTTCACCTCCTCCCCCTACCTTCCTTCACATCTTTACATCATCGATTTCTTTCATCATTAATTATGAGAACGACCGATACTCTTCGGGAGGTCAAGCAGGTTTTCCAAAAAGGAATCAATATAAACGGGTAATAATAATAACATATAACTGTTAAAATCACGAACTTGTAAAAAGCGGTTCTGATACATTTGTTAAGTCCCCAAAAAGGAAGCTAATCAGTATGGAAAAAGAATAATCCTTGAACCATGGTCATCTAAAACTAAAGGCAGTTGCAAGGAACCCAGGGGAGCAGATGAGGATTTCTAATCCTTTGATTTTCCCACACATTGATAGGAAGGGAAGGGAGGGACGAAGGGAGGGGATAGGGGAGCGATGAAGAAAGAGAAAGGGAGAGGGGAGGAGGGAGGGAGGGAGGGAGGGAGAGGGATAGAGAGAATGAGAGAGAGAGAGAGAGAGAGAGAGAGAGAGAGAGAGAGAGAGAGAGAGAGAGAGAGAGAGAGAGAGAGAGAGAGAGAGAGAGAGAGAGGAAGAAGTGGAAAGAGAGGGAATGGGTGTAGTCTTAGGGGCGGGTGAACTAGCGGGCGAGAAAAGCCTCGGAAGTTCCGGGTTTGCTCGGCGTGGTGTTAACGCTGAAACTTAGTTTTTGTTCTGCATTAACTGTCCACGTACCTGCATGGAGGGCAGAGAGGCCTGACAATTTTAAACGACATACGTGCAAAAATAAAGGTAAGCTTTAGTTTAAACGTCTTACTGTTATATTTAGCTGCCATCAATTTCTTCGACGTGATGCTTAGAAGTCGTCGTCCAGAACAAGGTCTATGTAGCATTTCAGAATACGCTCCGAAGGGCTACTTCGAAGCATGGTGGTAAGTTTCGAGGAAGTCTCAAGAATTTCACCCGATGCTTTCGCCAGACATGGAGGTACTCTTGCTCCACTGCGGCTAGCAAGGGAAAATGAGCTCTATGGCACGAGTAAGCACGCGCGTCTTCACCTTGAGCTAATAACCTACATACCCTTCCACCTTCAGGCCGGGCGGAACTGGCTTCTACTTCAGCCATCCACCCTTCCCAGTCAGATCCTCGTGCATTCCTCCTTCCCAATTTTCCCCACTGCTTTCTTTTGTACAGCTGCATTCCCTGCCTCTCATCACGGCGTACTTACCCTTGCCGAGGCCCGAGCCAGAGTGGCAGGGCTCTTGCCTTCCTGCAACACACGTCATAATACAAATATGAACCACACAAAACTTTAACTACTTCCAACATGTAAACCTAAGTGATTTCGATATGCAATAACGTTCAGAAATAAACAAATGCAATTGATAAACATAAATAAGATTACTGCAGGTTTTACTTATCCTTTTTCTAGACACGGTGGATACCCATTTTATAATTGTAAGTGATGAGATTCATTCCTGTTGTCTGTCAGCTAAAGATAACCCTTGTCTGCACACTATACATCACTTCCATGAGACCGTAAAATGAGATATTTAACGAAAATACCATAAATATCAAAATTCGTTTTATACGTTGAAATTCCAGCATAAAAATAACGAAGGGCATTGGCTATCTATAAGTTATCTGCCGCACTAAGGTGAAGTATAATATCTGAAGTCTCGTGTGCAGTAAACAGTGTCTCCATTATGCACAGGATACCATATGTGATGGAGGAAGCGAGTGGTTGAGTACTTCTGAAAGGCGGTTTCACAGTAAATCGAAAAGGAGTCATCCACATTGGTATAACGAGAAAGAGTAACGAGAAAGTAGTGTGTATGTGACTGAAAGTGTCTGTGTGTATAAATATATATATAGTAAAAGAGATAGATTAGATAGATAGACATATAATATTTACACAAACAAACACACACACACATTTTGTGTGTGTGTGTGTGTGTGTGTGTGTGTGTGTGTGTGTGTGTGTGTGTGTGTGTGTGTGTGTGTGTGTGTGTGTGTGTATATATATATATATATATATATATATATATATATATATATATGCATAATACACACACAATCGCACGCACATGCGTGTCTATATATATGTATATCTATACATATATATGTATGTATGTATATACGTGTGTATATGTACATATATATACATGTGTAAACAAACACACACGCACACATATAAACTGACATCCAGAGAAAAAAAGAGATAAGGGATGAGAGTGGGAACGTAGGGAACATATGATAGGGTGAAAGTCTATGAATCGCAGGTCCGGCTGTAAAGTGTGTTAGGCGGTGAACGGATCCTGGAGTACTCAAGACGGCCCAAATTCTCCCTGGAGATGAACACACACAAGTTACCTCAACATTCCTCTTTCACTGCACTCTCTCTCTCCCTCTCTCTCTCTCTCTCTCTCTCTCTCTATATATATATATATATATATATATATATATATATATACACATATATTTTACCTCAACATTCCTCTTTCACTGCACTCTCTCTCTCTCTCTCTCTCTCTCTCTCTCTCTCTCTCTCTCTCTCTATATATATATATATATATATATATATATATATACACACATATATACGCACACACACACACACACACACACACACACACACACACACACACACACACACACACACACACACACACACACACACACACATATATATATATTCGATCATCATATGTATTCCTCAGGTTGCAGAGAAAACCTTACCTTCCCTGTTCCTCGCACCTTTTTTTCTTGCCGCCTTGCATTGCCTCGGCCCAGCAAAATCATTTTGGTAATCCACACTTCATCTAACTCATCCCTTCCACTTGCTCCTACCTGGACGAGAGAAGAACGATCTCACAAGCGTCGCCCGGGTGCTCCGGGTGGGGTCCGCGTCTTAGAGTAAAACCTTGTGAGGAGGCCGGTTATCCGGCTCGTCCGGGAGAAAGTTAGGTGACGTAGGACGCATCACTACCTGCCTAGACACCCGTGCCCTGCCACGCGCCCCCTCCAATGCGGTGCACGAGGGCAGACGAGTAGGCATTTGCCCGCATCACTGGTACGCTAGTATCCTTTATATTAGGTGTAGCTCAAAACAAGTATCAGAGTTACTTTCCGGGTGACCACCAAATGCTTCAGAGGGAGGTATTTTTTTATACTTACATCTGTTCTAAGTTATAGTCCCGCGCCTTTGTAGCAAAAAATAAAATGAAATAAGTAGGCCTTTAGTTTGCCATGTTGGGGATCGGCTTGTCAATGTATCGTGTTAATCGCAGCTTACTTGTTACTGCCATTAATGCGGACACTCCTCTTCAATAGCTATGTAGCTCCATAACAGTATATCCATACCCCCAATTCATCTACATTCTTCTACCACTACAGCCTGTTTGCACCAACATCTCTACTCAAGTCCGGGCTACTCAGTTGTTGTCTTTCAGTTTTCCAGACTTCTCTGCAGAGAAATCTCTTAAGTCACTTACTACCAAATCACTACAAAACCATTCGTTTTTTTTCTTGCGACCTACAACGTCTTCAACCAAAACTTACGCTGCGAGCAGCAGAAACGACGAAGGAGCAGTGCACTTACTGAGTCTGGTATATAAAACTTTTGAATAAAGGCACATTCTAGGAACGGACAAAGTGGCATGTGTTGACGACCGATTTCTGATTAGCCAAACCTGCAGCCCATCTAAGCTTCCTATGACTTCCAGGGCAAGCCGGGAAGGTCGAACTGCAATGTTTCTTTGCACGAAGCATCATACAAGGGGAGGGAGGGAGGGAGAGCGAGAGAGGCTGGACACGGGTAGTATGCCCGTCCCTTTGTGACCTAGTACTCAGCGCTGTTTAGTTCCGGCCCAAGAGAAAGCCTGTGCGGCAGCTCACTCTCTGGTCCGGGTGCCACGCAGAGAAAGCCTTCCCGGTCCCTGCTTCTGATATCCACCAGACAGACCCGGGATGGGGGTTACTTTGTTATCGTCACGTCTGTTGCAACATCCTCAACGATGGCGTATGGCTGGCGTAATATCTACGCATGAGCTACCATCATCATAAACGTCGGCTACATTTTCCTCTTGATCTCCTTCTGCTTCAATATCTTATAGAGACAATGGTTTCGCACTTGTGCGACAACTGCAACAACCCTGTTACAGGATATGTTTAGCATAATAAGGTAAGCCCTTGAAATCAGTTGTTCGTTGTAGCTGGCATTCTTCTCGTGGCTGCTCTCTTTAACATTTGTTTTGTGAAGATCCGTTGTTAATGAGATGCACGCTGTCTTGGGGGTAGTAGTGGGTGGCATATGCCCAGGTTGTTATTATTATCATCAATAGTAATAATAAAAGTAGTAGCAGATGTAATTACTAACATATTAACTATTATAATTATTTTGAATATTATAAACATTATCGTCATTTTGATTATCATTATCATCACAATTACCATCTTTATCATTATCAGCACCATATTCAACACTTATGATCTTCACCAGCTTCAGTGTTATCAACATTCTTAT